GCCTTGTCCCCGGCACTCTTCCCGCGCAGTTTCTCGTTCAGGAAGTCAAACACGTTGCGCGGGGCCTTACGGCCGCCCGGCTGTCCAGAGCTGCTTCCCTTTGCTCGGCATTTCCTCGGTTTGCCTGGCTCCAGCTTCCCCTGCTTCTTCTTCTGAAGCACCTCAGCACACTGGTCCAGGGACTTCCCTCGAGGGAGCACCACAGCCTGCACTGGCTCCACTCTGCCCTCGCCGTTCTTCCCTAAGCCTGAGGAGAGACTCCGAGTCATTACAGCATTCCCTCGCCGAGTCACCTCCCACCACAAGCTCACCCTGACAGTCACAAGCTTAAAACAAGCTAAGAGGCTTCTGAAGTATGAAAAGTTAGAACTTCTGTCCAAGCCAAGGGGACCAGCAAAGGCCAGGCCAGGAGCCTTTCACAGCCGGAGATTTGTGATTCCAAGCCCGAGGCCATTTGTCAGGCCGGTTTCTGTGAAACCGGGTTCAGCCTCACATCCTCAGCTTCTCAAGCCAGGTTCTACTTAAAACTGGTTTGGTTCCTCTGGGAGAACCAGAGACACAGAGGCCCTCCCAGAGCCCCCAAGGCTCGATGCAATTTGGGTGGGAGCAGCGAGTTCAGCAGGCTTTGAAGTCTGTGCCCAGGCCAGGAGATGCATTAACACAGACATCAGAAGCTTTGCAGATCAGCTCCCCGCCACCTCCAGCCTTTGAACATTCCACAGCGTTCTCACAGCTTTGATCAGGAACTTGACCGTGCTTCCAGGTGCCTCCACTGTCTGCCATTACCATGCAGGGGTTGGTGCCCCACATGCCTGTACTTCCATAAAATAACTCATCCGTCTTCCCTCCAACACTGCTGTGATCTACCACATTGCTTAAGCCTCAGCCAAGTGGCCCTTCAGCACAGAAGAGTTCTGGCTTCAACCAAAATCTTGGGTTTTTCTTAACAGCCCCAGGACCACCCTGTCTCCTTACCTTTTCCAAACTCATATCCCATCTGAACAAGCAGTTTGGAGCCAATGCCACGAGTATGGGCCTCCCAGCCGCCGAAAGAGGAGCTGCAGGCAGGGGTCCATTCCCCGTTCTCTGGAACCCCTGAATCTATCACTGTGTACAGAAGAGGAGAATCAGTGAAGCTGGAATCATGAATAAAGCTCCTGTGTCCCTCACAGGACAGTACAGTTCACTTCTCCAACCCTAAAACCATTTGGTCATGCCTCCAGCTTTACTCAGTTCTTACTGAATTGTCACTTTCCATGAACTGCACAGGAGTGATTGAAATGTGAGGTTTCACTTGATTTAATGCACATATCATCTCCCAGTAACAGGCAGAATCACCCAGGAGTTTTATGATTCTTTTCCTTCCTTCCAGGATAACAATACACACCAATGCACACATCTGAGTAGAATTTAGCACACTGCCACCTAATACTTACCCTGTGCCTCCAGCTCCTGTCTCTGGTATGAAGCTCCTCCAGGCCACAGCATTAATTCTGTGTTATTAGGATCCAATAATCTTTGTCAGGTTAAATGTAAAGAGCTCTAGGACATGACTTTGTCCCTGTGATGCAGCTGTGGCACCACCAGAGGGACAGCACTGCCTGTGCCACTTCCAAGAAGTCACTTGGGCAATCTCTGTGTCACCTTTCAGCAGTAAAACAGGGCATGGCTGCTCCTGCAGCCTCACTGAGGCACAGGAAGAGCCCAACACTCCCATTTCCTTGGGTCTCACATTCCTGGGTCATGGAGCTCCCAGGGATGATTCACTTATTCACTCAGCTCAGCCAGACATGTAAGAAACAGGCTCAGAGCTTGGAACTCTAAAATATCACACCCTCTTCTTCCACTTGTAGGAAGTTCTCCAGCCTTCATTAGCCCAGGGATTTGCACAAAGATTTTAGTTTGCAGTTATAGCATAGCAGCCAGTTACTGTTCTCAATCTTTTAGGAACACATAAAGAGACCAAATGCTCTTTCATCAGAGGTGAGACACTCAGAGTGAGAGCTCCAGGACAGTCAGCCAGTCCCAGAGAAAAGGAGAACAAAATCCCAAGCCACTTTTGCTCACATTCTCCCCACTCCCTTACCTTTGGCATAACCAGAATCATCCACACTGTCCTCATCAGACTCGCCAGATTCAGCAGCATCTTCACTTCTCAGGGGTGGAATGACACTGTCCCCTTCCACCACGGCCTCCTTGAGGAGCAGGGAGTCAAATTTCACCGTGTAGTAACCACTGTCCACATCTACAGAGGGCACAGCAAGGACAGGAGCTGCAGCACACAGGGAGCTAAAGCAGAGTCAGCTCCAGCAGAACAACACAGGACAGGGGGGGGGTCCCAAGGAACAGTTCTAAAAATCTGTGATTTTTATTTCTGTCTGGGAGGGGGAAGCACCCACTGCAATGAAAAGCTATTTCGACAATGCCGCTGTTGATACCCAAAAGTTTATCTCTACAAATCAAGAAAGATGGGCTGTTGAGAAATGGAATTAAAAAGAAGTTAGGCTTGCTCCCTTCTGACTTTTAACAACAGTTAAAAGAAAGACGGAAAGAAAGAATAAACCCTCCCTCTTCCCAAGACAGAGGGAAGCCTGTATCAGCAGCTGCTGGGCAGGGACAGCTCCCTGGCTTTTGTTTAAACAAGACAGATTACTGCCATTCTCACCTACTACACATGTAAATTCCTGCAGTCCCTCCCTCTTCCCTGGAGCAGTTAATGACCTCGTAGTAATTTCCTTTCCACATTCTTGCTCTTTGTACCTCCTGTTTCCCAGCCAATCCTCTCCTCTAGCCTCACAAAACTCAGACTGTTTCCTCAGCTAGGTCAAGATCTTGAGATCAGGCCAGCAGCCACAGAGTTTATGTTTTTCTGTCATTACCCACAACGCCAAATTATAGACCCACATAAACCTCAGCCTCCACCTTCCCCCTGGGCAAGCCCCTGCCCCCCTCACCGGTGATTTTGGCCGTGTACCAGATCCCATCACTGTGCTTGGCCAGGCAGGCTGAGCCCACCCCCAGACTGCTCAGGTCGGGCTCCTGGAATGGCTGGAGCTCCTCCACGGACACCACCTGACCATGGGAAAACCTGCAGGGAAGGAGGAACAGGAGTTTCCAAATGAAAATCCCTTCCTTCCTCAAAAGAAATGCACACGAGTGTCAGAGGTGAGGAGCCTTCATCATAATCAGGGCAGTATGACCACGTGCTGTTGTAATTATAAAGTTGTTCATGTTTCACCTAAAACACGTTATTTATGTCATGGGACAAAGAATGTGTCTCACCCCAGAGAATTAAACTTCCTTGCTAGTGCCACATCCAATTAAAGAGTTCCTGGCTATGGGGATAAACAGGATCAGAGACAGGCAGGGCTCCAGCACCTTCACAAAGGTGAGGATCACAGCCCAGCACCTTCACAGACCACTGAGGCTGATCCTGGTGAAGATCCACAAAAATGGAGCCTTTACAACCTCCCTGTGCAATGCCACGTGTGCATTACCCACAGACTTGGGTGTTTTGTTTTAAAATACTTCATCAGTTGTTAATTCAGACACTCAGTTATGTAACATCTCTGCATCTCTCCCACGGGATTTTCCACTTCATCTGAGCATCAGCTATAGAGAACAGCCAAACTGGTGCCACTGCTCACCACAGCACATTTTAAAAACACTAAGGCACAATCTCCCTGGCTGAGAAAGCCACACAGAGCACTTGAGGAGGAGGATTATCCCTCTGAACGACAAGGCCCCTCCCACCCCTCTCTCTTTACCGACAGTTCTCTTTAAATCTGCACTTGTCATCCAGGAAGAAGGGGCAGGGCTTCAGGGACTTGTGGGTCGGGTACAGGTAGAGCACCCTGACCCCTGCACTGCCGTCCTCCAGCTCCTCTGTCCCCACAATCATGGCATTGTGGTACTCCAGGGTTCCCCAGGAGCTGTAGTAGGGGGCTTTGACCTTCATCCCACTCAACTCCTCTTCCTCCTCCTCCCTCTCAGACTCCTCCTCCTCTTCACTGCACTTGGATTTGGGTTTATCCCCCGTTTCTCCCTCTCTCTCCGAAGAGATCTCGTTGCCATCAGCTGCAGGCTCCTCATCTGCTCCAAGCCCAGCGATGGCTTCCTTAAAAGCAGCGTATTCCTCATCTTGGGCAGAGCTCTCCCGGTGGGAATCCCGCCCTGGGAGACCTGCTGGGGAGGAGGAGGATGCATCTGTGTCCAGAGTGGCCAGCAGTTTGCTCTTTTTCACAGCTACCAGGCTGGACTCGGTCAGTTCTATCAGCTGCTTCAAATCCTCCTGCAGCTGCATCAGGTCCGACTGCTGCGATGGGTCCTGGCCCGCCCCCAGCGCCAGCTCCACCTGCTCCAGCTGGGCGTTGTAGGTCTGGATCGCTGCTTCCAAACTCTCTTCATCCATTCTCAGCACAACAAAGGCGCTTTTGCCCGCGTTCTCTCCACGAACTCAAAACATTCAGAGTTTACTCAAGCACTTTGGGATAACAAGTCCTCGCCTGCAGAAGCGACATCTACCCGCCGTCCCGCTCTTTCCCTCGGAAATGCCCAGGGCGATGCTCCTGCTGGAAATAGGCGACAAGAGGCGACGGGAGAGTCCGAGGAGAGGCCGGGCCTGGCCCTGCCCTCCCCCGCCACGGAGTCCACTCTCGCCCACCGGGCTCCCGCACGGCACCACTCCTCCTGCAGCCTGGGCGCTCTCTCAGCCCGAGAGCTGCGGCACCTCCCTGAGCCGCCACTGCCCCCTCGGCGGCTGCACCGCGCCCTCAGCAGCCTCAGTCCCGGCGCGCTGCCGCCATGGCACCCGCCATGACACCCCACTTCCGGCCGCAGCGCCCCCACTTCCGCTGCTCTCGCCAGCGCGTCACCCGCTCAGCACTCGGCGTACCTGGCGCTGGGCATTCCGGGAGTTGTAGTCCACAGACACCATCCGCACCGCCACTGCAGCGGCGACAGGACTACATTTCCCAGAGCCCCGGGCGCGGAATGGCGGCGGCTGGTGGCGCTGGGGAGTCGTGAGAGGGGACTCCGGCTCCGGCGCTGACACCGGCACCGGATCAGGTGAGGGGCCGCGGGGCTCGGGCTCGGCGCTCTTTCCTCGCCCGTTGCCCTCTGGAGCTCGGGCCGGGACCTGTCTCTGGCCCGAGACGTGACGCGGGGCCATTAGGGGGAAATGGCGGTAGGGCCGGTGATTTCCTTCAGCCGTCACTGGCTGTGGCAGGGAAGGAAAGGGCGAGAAATCCCGGATCTTGTGGACCCGGAGGGATCTCCCGGCTCCGGGAGGATCTCACGGCTTAGGGAGGAGCAGGACGGCGGTCGGGCTGGCCCGGGGTCAGTGGCTGTCCCGGGAGGGGAGCGGCCGGGGCCCCCCCTGCCCGGGGGCGAAGGGCGGCCCCGGTACCTGTGGGACTGAAGCCCCTTAGTGCCCTGTCCTCCCTTACTGTGAAACCCCCTTTCCCTTCCTGCTTTGGAACGCTTTCATTTCCCTTTAGGTAATGGTGTTGGACTTCAAAGTGATTATTTAACCACGCGCTTGCTTAGAGGCAGCTGCCTCTCAAAGGCTGTGCCCGGAGGTTCCCTTTATCTGTGTTGGAGCAGAAGGGGTGTTGCAATGGCCCGTGAGCAGCGCCTGGTGCCAGTGCTCCTGCATCCCAGCAAAGCTGCTGTGCCTCTGTGTGCGCACCCAGCTCTGAGCTTCTGTAGATTCTTGCTCCAAATACCTGCTCTTTGTATTTGTATGAGCCCACTTCATTTTCTGTGGGTCTTACTGCAAGAGGTGTTTGAGTCCTTCCTCAGTTCCCCTTTAAACCCCAAATTTGATCTTGAGCTATTTTCATGATCTCTCTTAGATCTCTAATTTTTCCTGGGATTGCCTAAATATGAGAGGTACCGATAAAAGAGTAACATCGTTTGTTTGTTTGGCATCAGGAGAAACTTGTATTGTGGCATGAGAGGCTTTTGGGAACGAGCTGTTTGTTAATTGATTTCCTGGCATTTGTTGCAGGAGCAGGATGTATACACTGCTGTCAGGGCTCTATAAATACATGTTCCAGAGGGATGAGTACTGTGTCCTGATCCTGGGTTTGGACAATGCTGGTAAAACTGTAAGTGCTGTTTATCACCCCATGGAGGGCACACACAATCCTAAACATCCTCCAGGGATAAATCTTCCAGCAAGGGTCATCCTGAGTTACTTTAGTGATGTCACACCAAGCAATCAATTTCAGGGATGTGGCTGAGGCTTTGGTAATCCCATAATCACATGTGATCCCTTCTTTCCTTGCTAAAATAGGGAGTAAGAAGAGTGGTTTGTCCAAAATTAGGTAGGGCAGTATCTGCTCTAGCAGGATTGGGCAGAAATGAAGAGACAGGTTTGGGGTAGGATTACCCCTGCCAGTAAAATGTTTGACAGTAAATACTTTGTCTTATTCTTTTTCAGACCTTCCTTGAACAAACTAAAACCCGATTTAACAAGAACTACAAAGGGATGAGTTTGTCCAAAATCACAACCACTGTAGGCTTAAACAGTGAGTAAATCCACATGGAATTTTTTCAGCTTTCTTGCATAGATAGACAACAGCTGTTTTTTGTTTTAAATATTTAAGAATTCAGAAGGTAATAATAGTTCCTGGGTGCAGAGATTGTATCTCCCAACTACCCAAGTCTTTTTATAGATAATAAAATAGACTTTCTTAGCTTAGGAGGAGAAACTCTTAAAGTATTAAAACTTCAGGTATCCTATTTCAGTGCTGTCCTCAAACTATATTTCCCCGGAGTTCATTCCTTGGCCCAATTCTGGAATTATTTGCACTGATACTGCTCTATATTTGTGATCACTCCGTGCAGGTTTTGCTCTGCTGTTGCCTGTGATTTGTTCCCCTACAAGCCTGTCCCACCCCAGATTTCTGAGTGGGGTATGCAGGTGTCTGTGCTTTACAGCACCCATAGTTTTCATTGGATTGCCCTTTCTTCCTTCCTTCTAGTTGGAACTATTGATGTTGGCAAAACTCGGCTCATGTTCTGGGACCTTGGTGGGCAGGAGGAGCTGCAGTCACTTTGGGACAAGGTTAGAAATGTGGTTTTGTTTTATTTGATTTATACAACTTGCCCAGAGAAGCTGTGGCTGCCTCATCCCTGGAAATGTTCAAAGCCAGGGTGGATGGAGCTCTGCTCAGCCTGATCTAGTGGGAGGTGTCCTTGCTCCTGGCAGAGGATTGGAATGAGATGGTTGGCCCCTCCCAACACAAACCATCCTGTGATTCTGTGATTTCTTTTAGAAGTGGTTTTGTTTCTTTTAGAACTGAACCACTAAAATAATTTGGTTATCACACAGGCTTACTGATAACCCAAGTATTTAGCAGTAACACTTTTTCCGAAATTCCACTATTTCTGTGGTTGATAAATGCATTACTGGTTACAGACAGCAATTACCAACCCAGATCTGGGGTTGTGCCATAGAGATGAGCTTTGTGGGGACACAGGTGAGCTTTTCCACCTGGTGTATTGATCAGACCTGCAAACAGAACAGGCAGCACAGGCTGTGTGCCTCCATTCTGTCCAGGCACATTGTGGATACAGCTGCCTCTAACTGATTGACCTCCTCCCCATGTACCAAAACTGTACCAAAATCAAATCAGGGAGAGGAACAAGTGACCCTGGTGAATTGGCACCAATATCTGTGTTCTCCTTCCAGTACTATGCTGAATCTCACGGGGTGATCTATGTTATTGACTCCACTGATGAGGAGAGGCTCTCTGAGTCCAAAAGAGCTTTTGGTAAGTACAGTGTCACCAAACTGTCCTGGAAGGTTGTATCAAATGAAACTGTAATGCAAGAGGGAGCTTCTGGCTTCATCCCTCTGTCCAGAGAACCTGTGCCAGGCATTTGTACAACTTCCAGAACTGGCTAAATCTGGTTTTGTTTCTGTCCTTTGTAGAGAAGATGATTACCAGTGAAGCTCTGGAAGGGGTTCCCATTCTGGTGTTGGCCAACAAGCAGGATGTAGAGGTAAAATATGGAGGATTTACATAAATGAGCAAATAAGCCTTGGAAAGGTGAACTATGCATTCATGTTAAATTTGTTCCACAGTCCTGAGTTGATCCTCTGGTACTTTCCTACTTTGCTTTGAATTTAGTTGTATTTTTTTCCTTTCTCCTCCAGCCCTTTTTCAGTGCCATGAATGAGCTTCCTACAGGCACGTAGTTTTGAACTCTTTATGTAAACAGAACAAACTGCATAGCTATAGTGGGTCTTTCTTGTAGTGTGACTGGCTATATTGATGCTGTTTTTTCCTGTTTATTCAGAAAAAAATGTTTAGTGTGCTTTGTTTATGCTGCTCTTTCAAAACCCAGGAATAGCACAACAGATGTATGTGAAGCAAATCATCCTTTCCCCATAATTGGATAAGATCTGTTCAATAGTTTGTTGTAGAGCATTCCATCAGTGACAACAGTGAATGGCAAGGAATGCTCCTTTTCTGATAACACAATTTGAATTCTTTGCAGTGTATTCAGAACTGTAAAGCTTTGGGTAAAGTTTCCTCCTGGAAATTGTACCTGGAATTCCAGGAGTGCAGCTCCAGTGGCTCGTCTCTAGATGGAGCCAGAAGCTTGCAGTAGGATTTGGAGCAGCAGGCCTGGCAGCTGGGCTCAGTCTCTGTTCCAAAGGATGCAAAAACTTCTCAGGTTCTTTCCTCTGCACTTTACACTTGTCCGAGCAGTTGCACTTGTGGAAACACGTGAGGCTTCCATAGAAATCACTTGGCTCTAGAACAGGATTTCATGAGTACAGCACAGATTGGTTTTTGGATGATGTAATTTATCTAGATTATCTAGATTATCTAGTCTTAGAAATAAGAGAAATGTAATTCCATGTAAAAGCATGAGATCAAGTCTGAACTCCTGATTTATGGTCCTGACTTTGCTGTGGTTTCTGGAATGTAGGGAAATGGTCTGTCTTTTTTCTGTGGAAACCAGAATATTGACTCTCACATTTTTCTACAACCCCACAGCTTTTCTGCAGGGAACAGCCTGAACTCCTGTCTTGACTTGTTGAGGATAAGGTCCAAGCAGTGACCTGGAAAGTTGTTCCAGTTTCTCTCTTGGTTGTATATACATATTTTCTTACAGGCTTCAGACACTGGCTTTTCTGACGCTCTAACCAGACTAAAGACAAATAATTGAACAATTTGGCTTCTTTAAATTGCTAGAAAGAAGTATTTGGAACAGCCTTTCAAGAGAAAATCTGGCTTTTTGCTTCCCATGGAGGATCCAAGACCAGCCCACAGACTTAGTGCCTTCGTGCAGTTGTAGAGCTACAAAAAGAGATTAGCAAAGCTAAACCCACTGGAGGTTTGCTTAGCTTGTTTGTAAGAAATACCTACACTGGGTATTTAGAGGTTCACTCCTACAGAATGATCTTGGATATGGACCCAGCAAAGAGATATCAATGCTATTAACGAATCACTAAGGGGATTATAGCTTATTTTTCAGTAATTACTGTGGTTCACTTAAATAAGTTTGAGAAAGCACAGTAGCCTGTTTCTCTTCCTCTGATTTAGCAGAATGGAAGACCTCTGGAATAAAACTGATAATTAGCATTGATAGCAATTTTTCAGCTCTGGATCTCCAGACATAAAACTGTAGGAAATTCTCACCAGCATCCCTCTGTCCTGAACCATGATAAGGGAGGATAAGTGTATCTTAACCTTGCTGGTATTTGGAGATGAAGGGTAATTCTTGATGATGATGTCTGTAGAGGCCAGCAGAAGGCTTGTGATCAAATACATCAGAAATAGTACATCTGACATAGTTTGTTTTTTAAGTTTACATTCTGTTATCAAGATAACAAAACTGCTAATGCAACCTGCAATTGCATGAAGCATTGAGAATTCTGCTGTGAACTCCAGAGTACATTACGTCCTCTCAGCACTGCCAAGTATGAGTGGTATTTGGTCATTCCAGGGGATAAAATATGGTCGTTGATTGCAAAACACCAATTCTAATTCTCACAATACTGAATGTGATGTTTTATGGTATCACAGAATTCTCTGTGTTCAGCAGGGGCTTCAAAAGTGGACTATATTATAAATAATTTAAAAATGTAGTCAAATGTGTGTTGGAGAAAGGAATTTGTTCAGGTTTTTAAAGGAACTATTGCTTTGTAGGAGAAATAAAATATCTAATACCTATAATTTCTGTGAACTCCCTTTCAACTCAGAATGCCACTTTTGAAAATATGGCTTATTGCAGAAAAACCAGCAGAATCAGAATTTATATTTGCTGTTTTGATGTGAATGCAGCTGTTGAAAGGTTTACACAAGGTATATATTTCTGAGCTTTACAATTAACTGTTATGAGGATAGAATGCATTATGCAACACTGTTCAAAATACTGGAAAAGCATGACATGTCAAAAACAGCATCTGAAATGTAATAATCTGAAAATTACTGGGTGCTCTATGATGACCCATGCATGGGGGAAGTTTTGCCATGCTCATTTAATGCTAAATTTGGGAAATTTAATTTGAAATCTCCAGAATGCTGAAAAGCCTTCTCATGCCTTTAGAATCCTGGTGAGTAGCAGAGTACTCATTTCCACACAGAAAACAAACCTTCTGCATGAAAGTCATTCTGGTTCCCAACTTAAGACCTCCAACAGTTTCCCTGTAAAATTAGTTTTTAGTTTAAATAAGATGGTTTCACTTGAGGCTAAACTATTCCTTCTTTAAATTTAAAGAAGCTTAAATTCTAATTTAAAACTAACTTGTATAAAGGGTAGGCCCAGACCATAGGTGGGTGAGGTGAGTCAGACTTTTTGTGAACTAGTATTTTATTTAGGCAATCCACCTTGGTGTTGTTTCTCTTTTAGTTCCATTCTGATGGTTGATTACTCTTGAGATGTCTAATGAGCCTCTACTTGAGATTTTATGCATGCTTCTGGATTTATCCTGGCAGACCAGGCAGCAGCATTGTCTTTGCTCCAGTGGATTTGGGAAATAGGCAAAGGCTCTACAATGCCACTTTTTTTGCTAAAACTTGCCTTGCTGCTTGATAGATTTTTAGGTGTGCCATTGCTGAGTCTTATTTTGGGTAATGCTATTCTGAACTCTTCATAGGAGGAATTTGGTTCAGTCCTGACTAGGTTATGCCTGGAGGAGCCGTCATAAAAGATGTTTTACAGTGTGTTATTTTGGGGAAGCTGAGATGGAAATCTGGTTCGTCATGTGTTGTGTGTGAGGTTCCTGTGAACTGGCTGAGAGATACCATCATTCCTGAAAGGTCACTGTGCATTGTGTTATTGTAATAGAGCACTGTTGATGTGGTCACAGATCCAGCTTCCCTTCTTTGCCCTTGGCTTATGGGTTTGCAGCTGAGAAACAAAGCACATCTGTAAACAAATATTTTGTAATGTGGCTGGGGAGAAGGGGAACTTGGAAGCCACAGCTGACATTTTCCCCTAAGCATGAGAAGCTCAGATGCCCCTTGCTGAAGTGGTGGGTAATCTGCCTCAGCCCCTGCTGTCACATGAGATTCCAGTTCGTGGCTTTCCCTGGAACACTAAAACAAGGCATTGATCATTTTGTGTTACCTGTCTGCTGTGCTGCTCTACTTCATCCCAAGGGGAAAATGATGTTCCTCAAAATAGTATTGGTGATGCAGTGGCATCCTGCTGTGACAATGTGAATGGTGCAAAGTCTCCTCAGAAGCAGAACTCTTTCTGATGCAGATTTCCATGGAAAGCCATGGCTGGGCAGCTCTGTGGAAGGTGGGGCAGGCCACAGCTCTACCAGAAGGTGGGAAAGGGAAGTTATAACAGTGGTTTATACTGAGAGATAAAACGGCTGTAATTGTTAGCTACACAGGGAAAAGTGGACTCTTAAAGGCTTCAAGGATGGGCAAGGTGAAGGATGTGGGGTCTCTGTGCTGCTGGGTATGTGCAGGTGACCTGGTGTGCTGGTGGTGTTGGGAAGTTCATTGCCTGATTGTTGTGCTACCTGTGCAAGTAGAAGTTGAGGAATCAAGGACAGCATGACTGTGCTCTCTGTTGTTGCTTCGTACCTTGAACACTTTATCTGATTTATTTTAAGATATTTTAAAATGTATCGTCATTCAGAAAAAGAGAAGGAAAGGTAGACTCAAGAAGAAGAAGAAGAAAAGGATATACTCAAAAGCATATTATTATACAATGATACTAAACTCTGAGAAGCTTCAAGCATATTTCGAGAAACATTTGTTCAATTTCAGCTGCCTTGAGATTTAACCTTCCTGCTGCCAAGTCTCATTGACTGAAAAAACCATAGATGTGAAAAATAGCTCAAATTACTGACATGCAGCTCCTTCTCCTTCCCAGTTGTTGAGTACTGACTTGCCCAGAGCTTGGGTTAAACCAGGAAGCATTTGGACTTGCCTTTCTTACTGGGCAGTGGACACCATACCAGGTTAAGGAGCAGCTTTTACAGACCAGTAGAGGTTGGTTGGTTGTAATCTCTTCCCCATCTTCCAGACCTAGTTTTAATTCCAACTGGTTTGAATTCCAGCTCCCAAGCCCAGTCTGATTCCCTCTAAAGTAAGTAATTGTTAGTAATTGTTGTTGTTGGGGTTTTTTTAATTAACTTTATGTCCTGTGGCTGACAGCTCATCTGTATGGACTGCACATTTTTCACTTGTCAAAAATCTGACCTTAATTGTTGAGGGTTTTGCAGAATGATGTCAGTAACATTTTTGGATACAGTTTCCAGGTCATTGATTGAAAGGGCAAGTTTAAAATGCAGCTGTGGTCATAAGAAAGTACAGTCATCAAAAGTTGCACAGTTAATGGAGTCAAAGGCAATTGGGTGAATTGGGTGTTGTTAAACTCCTTGCAAGCCATTTCTTAAGATCCTCTCCTACATACAAGCAATGAAATATGCTGTTCTCCACAAAAATTTCCTGTATTTAATTTCTCCAGAATCAGTGTTTTGTAAATGGATGGCTGGTAACAATTTTCATATTTCTCTCAGAGTTTACATTCACTTGGCCAATCCTCAGGACTCACAAAGGGTCCTGTTTGGCATTTGTGTAAACATTTGTCCAAAACACGTATGTGGGCCTGACTGAAGGCTCCAAACACATATTTGAGACTTGTTGAAGGTCCAGAATGTCTTTGCAGAGAGGGGGGAAGGTGGGCTCATGGCCAGCTGAAGTGCTTAAATGGCTTATCCAGGTCTTCTGAGGGAAAAATTGAACACTGAGTGCTGAGGGAGGTGCAAGTCCAGACTTTAGTTGGGCAGCTTTGCTTTTGTTGTAGCTTTAAGATTTTTGTGGTGACACTGTGATTTATGTGGGGAAAGTAATCCACTGATTTACTGGGGGGGTTATGATTTGTGTTGTTGTTCCCAGCAGCCTCCTGGCACACTCACAGAACTTCAGGACCTGTTGGGGGTCAAGAGCACAGTGACATCAGGCATCAGAAAATGTGCTGCATTCAGTGCTGCCAGTGTTTTCCCTGAATGCAAACAGACAAGTGCCGGTGAGGCATGGCTATAATGTCAAGGAATGTGCTGAGAACTGAGGAAAAATCACAGCTTGTTTTGTGAGAGTGCCCAGGATGCTGGCAAAGAGTCAGCTGGGCTTGTGGCAGGGACACTGTTTCAAAAGGCTTTGTAAATATTAAAGCTCTTGTAGTGTTCTGGTAAATATAAGCTGTTGAGCAGCTTGGAAGGGGTATCACTAGAGAATGCAGGTTGTGCTCATTTTCAGGACTTTTTGCTTAGAACTGTACAGATCAAGGATCAGGGAGGTGAGGCAGTGTGTGTACTGTCAACAAACAGCATTGTCTTAGTTGACAAAAGAATATGCTCATTTCTTTGGAATGTGAAGAGGTGAGTGGGTTTAACCTGATAGTGTTGCCATCCTGACTGATACAAGACTGCAGTCATGGTAGGATTCATTGTGGAAGAAGATCACCACGTCTTGTAGCACAAACAAGCTCTACTTTGTTTCCCTTTGCAGACTTGTCTGTCAATACCCGATATCAAGACAGCATTTAGTGACTGCATTAACAAAATTGGGAAGAGAGACTGCCTGACACAAGCCTGCTCGGCCCTTACTGGGTGAGTATGAGAAAGGGTAGACTGAGAATTGATTGACTGAGCAGCTGTGGGGTGTCACACACAGAGCAGCACTACATGGGTTATTAAGCCTTGAAAGGGAGCTTTACTTCCTTTCAGCACTGACCGATACTTGTTCGAGATCCTTGGACTTGCACCAGCTCAGTAACTTCATCTGTAAATCCTGCCTGTAAAGCACAGTGGAAATGTACTGCTGGCTGAGAGCAGCAGAACTTGGAGGCATATTTGTTGTTCTGTATCATCCCTTCTCCTTACACAATCATCCTTGCTGTTTGCTGCAGCTCCTGGCTTTTATGGTTGAGGTCAGTTGAAAATGCTGCTGTTGATGCCTCTGCCAGAGAAATGGGTGGTGTTTCACTTCTGCCATAATTATGTTTCTGCTTTCAATTTCTTTGGCATGCAGATGAGCTTTGTGATGGGGATGATATCACAGTTTCCAGGAGTCCTCTTGCATGGGGATGCCTGTGGTTTAAGATTTGATGACGAGAACAGACCCTAATTTGGGCTTGCACAGCTGTGTGCCATGACCTTGACCAGCCCACTGGATTCTTGACATCTCAGCATCATTATTGTGTATTGAGTCTGGCAGTACTTTTGTTCTTTGTACTTTCAGTTCTTGAAGTGAAAAGTGCTACTTGGCATAAGTCAAAAGTTTTGTTCCAGGTAGTGGAAACACTCCTGGCTGAATTACTGCCTGGGCTAAATCTAGAGCTTTGAATTTTTTTCTGTGTTATCATACAAGCTACTGCAAAAGATAACAAAAACTTCTTGAACCATTTAAAAAATCTGTTGTCTGCATTGCTACAAATCACATTCCATTAAGCAGGTGAATGACCACAGTGAACAGTGTTCAAGCACTGACTGGAAGAGAAATATTAGATAATGACCTTAATTGTACAAACATTTCTAGTGTTGATCTGTGTGGGGTTTCCTTTCAAAATTCCAGTTTGAGCTTGCACTAAAAGAATAAATAACTCATGGAAGTCATGACTGGGGAGCTGTGCTGACCATTAGGGTGTTGACTTGCTTGGCAGCCCCAGCACAGATGATTACACAAAGCTGGAACCAAGATTTCAAGATCTTGTACAACTGGTGTGGGGTTTGTGGCAAAATTGCTTCAAACCAGCTGTCAGGTGGGTTTGATGTTTGTTCATCCCAAGATTTCCACAGAGGTGGTGACTAAGTTTGGTATAGACTTGCACAGACACCAGAAAAATTAAGGATGGAGGTATACATTGCTGAGCTAAAAGAAATCAGATGCCTATTGTTCGCCTGTGTGAAAAATAACACAGAAATGCCAACAAATAATGGTGTAGAGTCCCTCCCTTCCTCATGTAAGGGCTCAGTTAGGGCCTGTATGATCCACGTTTCTGTTCTTGGTTGCTTCTTGTTGTTGGTTTATTTTAAAACCTTGTCTGCTTGTCTTACTTCCTTAGCAAAGGGGTGAACGAAGGAATTGAATGGATGGTGAAGTGTGTGGTGAGGAACATCCACCGCCCCCCAAGAAAGAAGGACATCACGTAGGAACTCCAAGGCAGCCAAGCAATGGACAGTCTCTTTCCACACACTTTTGTGTTCCCTTTAAAGAAGGTGATCCACTGGATTCCTATTACACCTGATTCTTTCCTAAGTTTGGAGACAAATATTCTCTTTCTGTGTCTAAAAAACACTTGAGCCGAGGATTCCAACTGGGTGGGGGGTGGGAATCTCTTACATTAAGTATTGTCATTGGCCTCTGAGCATCCTATGTAGCAACATACACATTGTTGCCAATGCAAAAGACTTAATTTTTTACTATCTTACTTTGTGATTCCTGATTTGTTAGTCTAACAGGCTGGAGGCTGGTGACATGAAGGAACTTCTGAAGGAAATGCATAGGTGAATGTTGAAGGGGAAGAACAGCCTGGGGAATGGCTGTTCCTCCTAACTGCCAAGATCCTTGGTGCTCCAGCTCCATGTTCCTGCAGGGTGTTACTGGCCCTGTTATGCTGCTGTTTGTATAGTGGGGAGAGACAACATTAATTAGAACTTGATTTTCACTTGGGGTGTTGATTTGTAACTTTGACCTGTGGTAAAAACAGATATGGGAATCAGCAATTGCACGATGGTCATTGGATCATGGAATCCTTAATGCTGGAAAAGACCTCATCAAATCCAGCTGTGCTGGTTGAAATGGATATTCCTAGCAGGACACCGATTCCAGAAGCACTGCCTTGCTCTGACTGCCAGTCTCTTTGTGCATTCTCTTTAATCCTAAGAATAATTGGGATCTTCTGTAACTGGAGTGAATCAAGGCCCTCTCTGTGATTTTTCTAAGCTGAAAACAACCTCTAGGCAGGAAGAAATCAGTATGCAATAAAGCTTCCTACTTATTTGAACTTCCCTGGCTGAAACAGTGGTATTTGGGAATAGCAGTACTTAGCCCTTAGGGGTTTTTTTGAAATGTAGGAGAAAACAGAAAGGCAGCACTCAAAAGACAAAGAGTGCTCAGTGCTTACATCACCTACTCAGCTAGATCTGCTGATGTATCATTATCTTTTCCCTGAATATGAGTTTTTACGTGAATTTCATGGTGGTTTGGCAATGTGTGCTGCTCCTCTGATGTTTTATTTACTCCTGGCACTGGTGAACGCTCTGTGCTGTTTGCTGACATAATGAAGGGGCCATAATTCAAGATGTACTTCAGTCAGTCCGTAGTATTTGTTTAAAGTCTCTTAGTTGGCATCTGTCAAAGAACTTTCTGCTATATTTCCTGCATGGAACTCGTAGATGTTTTTTGAGAGAGAACATCTTGCATTTGCTCACATTTGGGTCAAAGAACAAAGGCAGCTGGGCTGTGTCATTAAGTAATTGAAGTCAGTGGAAAATATTGCAAATAGAAGAGCAGAATCTGTGCTTCTCAGTAGAAGAAGTAAGGCTCCTTTAGACCTAGTGACCTGGTCATTTTTCTTGTGTGTTCTGTGAATGTGGAGAATCCCTTGGAAATCACACAGCCACTGTAGGAAGTGGCAATTTTGTTGGGTGCTGCATGTGATGCAGGGCTGAGATTTTCAAGAGTACTAAAGTTCTGGAGAACTGATGGCCTTTGATTATCAGGAGCATCTCTGTCACTGGGCTGTTTTAAAACACTTGGAAAGCCTCAGTGTTTTCAAGGTGACTTTTTGGCCCTGGCTGCCTTGGTTGACAGACAATTAAACTGAACATGTAAAACAGTAACTAATGAACAAAAGTACCTTGCTGAGAGTCAAAACACTTTAGTCAAGTAGCTTGAAATGTCTATTCTTTGGGACACAGTGGATTTTCCAAGATTTCTACATACTGTTTTCAGATCTCTTGCTCTCTTTTTTCCCTGGGAAGCCAGAAAGGACAAAACAGTTTGTAGACACAGACTGCTTTGTGGTCCATATCAGCAGGGTGTCTTAAAGCCAATGTTTTGACCTCAGAATTCCAAGTTCTCAGATGTGGGAGAGTCGTTTTCCCAGAGACATGCCCAAGCTGGGATGTATGAGTGTGCTCTGGCCACAACAAATCAGGGAGGATTTCTCTGAAACCACCAGTGTAAAGTTCATTCTAATTCAAAGTGACCTTCCACAGCAGATGGGACAATTTTTTATATTTTCATCAGAAGTTTAATGATTTTTCACATTTTGTACTTACAGGAAGCACAGATTTATTTGAAATGCTTTTTCTGTTTCAAGTGACCCCTCTACTAGACCTCAAACAAAGCAGAATGTTTCTGAATTCAAAGTTCAAATGTAGTTTTACAGATTTTTGATACATTTGCATTGGACCTGTTTTGCCCATGCCTGTTCACAACAATGAACTTACCTAAAGAGCTAATTTATCTTCCCAAAGGGATACAGACTGATCATCTGCACTTTGCAATCCCTGTTCCCATTGGCATGCTGTCCATGAGATAAAGGTAAGAGTTCAATAACTTCAGCAGAGATTCCCACTTGCCTCATTTTAGCATTGACAGATGATGACATTTCTCTCACTCACTTGGAATTCTCTCACCCATCTGCAATTTCCTCTGCTAATATTCAATAGCTGATAGCAGCAGGATGCAAGAGCTAAAAAAACACTTTTAAAGCATTTATTTGAGTCCTAGTGAGTTCTGCGTGTGTGCTGGCAATTCCATCTTCATTTGGAACTCTGGAGGGATGCAGAATAACTGAATTACAGCACTTTTGGCTGGTCTGACCTAATCCCGTTCCATCCTCACGCAAGGCAGTGGTGACATGTGTGCTGAGAGTCTGTTTTGCAGTGGTGCTGAGATCACAGCTCATCCCACTTCCCACGACATTCTGTCCCACAGAACTACAGAAAATGTTAAGACAAATCAGACCCAGCTTCAGACTAAGTCCAGCATCTTAGTCCAGTCTCTGGCTGCTAACATCTGTGTCAGAAAGTGGAACAAACAGAGGCTCTTTAGGGTCTGTGCCCCTGGCCATCCTTCTGACTCTGATAAACTGAAATCAAGGCATCATCAAGAAGTGGACTTAATATCCAGTGCTGTAGGATGGCTTTTTGCTAACTGAGTTATTTTTAGTCTTTTCTTTCCTTCCATCCTGCTTGTGTACTGCTGACACAGCCTGCAAACCCAGCAGTTTGTGTAGGGAAAGATCTGCTGATACAATACAGATCACAATCTTGAGTGAGTCTCTTCAGCAGTGATGTTTTAGTTGTATGAGACTGTTGAGTTAGTCATGATTTCCAGCAGTGTTCTTGATTAACTGACTCTGACCTGCTAGTACAAGTTTGGAAATGTAAGGCTCAGCTAGAAACCTGCCTTAAAGTACTTTTGCAGGGTTCTGAGTTGATCTATGCATTTCACTGGATTTTTAACCTATCCTGGGATACCTCTCCTGGCAAATTGTGTCTAAGGAGAGAAAGTATAGAGAAAGGCAGAGTGGTACTGTCACCGCACTTGAGAAATATCCCTTTAAATCAAAGAATCTGATTAATGAGGATTGTAATTCCTGGCAGCCACAGCCAGCAGTGTCCACACATGAAGGACAGTGCATCCTGCTGCTCCTCAGCTTTTGCCCAAAGCAGCACCACAGGCTCAGTTTGCCTTCATCTTTGGGGCTGTTTTCAGGCTCTTAAGTATTTGTCTATAGATTTCCCAAAACCAATTTGAACAATTAATGAAGACAGGCTCAATTACCCCTGCCATGCAGACAGGTTCTAGGCTGGGTGACTTCTCAAAATTCACTTCTGGCACAGTTTTCTACTCAAATTTGCCTCAAATTTCTCTCCTGAGAAATAAGGGGGAGTGATGAGGTGCCAAGGGCCTTTCCCCTCTTCTGAGATCTTACAATGGATGCTAGAAAAACTGGAGCAGGTGCTTTTTACACTGGAATTCTATACCACCTGGAAATCCCATGTGAAACATTCCTGGTGGATAACACCAGTTATTGTTTACCTGACCTCGGGCATTTCCTGCAACTTTGCTCTTGGGTTTTGTTCTTTGTGCTTCTGCAATCCCTAAGGGATTTGTTTTTCTGGTCCTCTGGTAAAACCAGCTTCCATGACAACTCCTGGGGGCTTTCCATTTCTTTCTTTACACGCACTCAAGCTTTTTTTTGTTCCCAAACTGCCTTCATGATGATCTAGTCCCAGCTTTCAGCAGTGTCTGCTCTCAAATGACTTCACCTGCACAACCTGTATCGATCACAAGCCTTCACCCATTATGTCAGAAGGGAGTGATGCTTAAAATTCCTGGTAAGGCAACAAACGAATACTAAAAAAGATTCAGACCTCATGGAAAATGACACACAGCAGATACAGAAAACATGGACAGCACAGTATGCAATAGCACTGTGGGGAAAAAATTACCTAAAGGCTTTTTATAAATGAGATGCTCGTCAACTGGAAGCAGGGAGAGGAGGAACATTGGTAGTTAACTACACAGTGCTGGAATTCTGCCTGACATTCTTACATGTTAAACACAAAATCAGGAGATAGGAGTCTCATTCCGTCTTGGTTGCACTTTTTCCTTAAAGCTGCTGCTGCTGCTAAATGAAGTTTCAAAATTCCTATGTTGTTATGACAGTCCTCTTGAATACCACATTCCTCACATCTCTCTTGAGGCTGTGTAGTCCCACCTTTCCCACGTGTTACCTAAGGTAGCTGTGAGGGTGAGGCAGTGGATACATTCACTTCAAAACACAGAGGATCCTTTTCTTGAAACAAAACCCTTCTGGACCAATATGTACTATTCTCACTAACATTGCTAATTATGAGTAGTAACTTTTTGTTACGCTTTTGCCAAGAAAGGTTGGACTAGATGATCCTTGAGGTCACTCCCAGCCTGGAATTCTGGGATTCTCTGGTTCTTCATCATTGAAGAATATATCCTTCAGCTAAACACATTTCATGCTAAACATTTGGAGGAACTAACCCAAGCTTCTGACCCCATGTACCTTAAGCCATCTATATTCAGCACATACCGGAAGCACTTTTCTGAGGGCAAACTAACTGTAAAATTAAGTATATTCTTAAGTGTTTTCCTGAAACAGGAACCTCTGGAGTTGTTTCTGTTGCATGGCAGTTCAGTTCATAGCCAGGAGCTCCTCTGCCTGTTCTCAGAATTCGGAGAAACTGGTATTTCATTGGAGATTT